CTAGTGAGATCTGAGGGCCTTGATAGCCGCCTGGCTGTCAGTCAATATCGCAATGTTCTCATAGGTCCTGGTATGCAAACAAATGCTACCCTCTACAGCTTACTGAGCGCTTTTTATCTATTGGATCTTTGTTTATTGAATCTACCTTCTACAAGTCATACATAAGTATTTTCACAGCTACAAATCGTATGTATAACTAATCATACAAATTTCTTGCAGTGTAAAATTTTGCGTTTGCTTTGCCTACTGGATATACCACTTTCGTTCGGCTAGAAAAACCCAAAAAAACTGTTGCGTATTAAAGCATTGTTTTGATACAAAACGAAATTAAATGACATATTTAGATATGCACATAATTTAGTCGGCTTATTCTTTTGTACTTTTACGTTTAAAAATTATGAATTTTAAACGCCGTCATGAAATTTGTGTAGTTTTAAACATAGAAATGCTAATATGCCAGACTTGCAAATTTATAAAATTGTTATGGTAGTTAAGTTGTCAAACTGCTTTGCCGAATTGACATGCCGCATAAACGTCAGCCTAATTCACCAGCCACCAAAACTCAACATTTAATTTATTTTATTACCAATCATCAGGGTGTGCACAACAGAGTATGAAAGTGTCTGGCGCGCGGAGGGTAAAGTAGCGGAGGGGAGTATGCTAGTGCGCACGCTATCGTCACAGTACTTACACCCACAGTTTTGGGCGGCACACAGCACTCACCGCCCTTGTAAATTTCCCACTATTTTCGCTGAGAGAGTTTTCCCCGTGAGCGACGACACTACATACACTCGCTTGCTCGCTTATCATGCCTGTGCTTTGCATGCGATCCGCTCCGTTGTTGTACATTGAGGCTGGATAGATAGATGGCTTAACTGCCGAACTAACCAAATAACTGCCTGCTGCCAGTTTTGGCTGTCTGTGTTGGTCCATTCGCAGATGGAAAAGTCAATTTTTCATCTCGGCGCAGCGCGAAGGGTGTTTTTACTTTAATCGAAATTTTTTCCTCATTAATAACTTTTAAGTGCTCAACAACAAACACACAACGGTTAAACGGACCATAACTAAAACATTAAGGAAAACTGCAGGCCACAGTGAAAATAGTGAAAACTTGAAAGAAAAAAAATCAATAAGAAATTCAGTAAATTCAATATAAAAATTTGTTGTGTGTGTGAGTTGAGCTAACGTGCGTGTGTGTATGTGCGTTTTCTTGCCGTTTTTGTAATTCGGAAACGCGATGCGAACGCGAGTATGAATTTCGTTTTACGCCTTTGGCTGCAGTCGAAATCGACAATTGGCATCGACGCGTCAACGCAGACGCAGACGCAGACGGTAATGGTGACGGTGACGGTACCGCCGACGACGATATCCACAAAAACATACAAATACCCATGTTAAGCCATAGCTGCTGCCAAGATGCTGCCGAGATGCGAAAGCGGCGCTGACACTCAACAAAGTAGTGTAGAAAAAAGTGCCAAAGTGTTGTCGACGATTGTGTGTCGTGTGTGCCCACAAACACACATGGAAAATTTTATTGGAATTCGCAGCGTAGAAAAATCTATTAAGGGAGCGCGTTGAGCACCACCTATTTACCTAAGCAGCAGATTTTAGGAAAAGTTCAAATGGTAAACGAAAAGTAAATGAAAAGAAATAAATTTCTTTGCGCGAATACGTAAAAAATAAATACAAAGTATGCGTTTTGAACTTTCAAAATTAAATGGTGCATCAAAACTTAATCCAAAAAAGGTCCACGGTATGTGTAGCACTCGTTCATATGTACTATACATATATATCTATGTGTGTGTATGAGAGGCGTCGAAAAACCGTTAAAGTAAGCAGCAACGCGGCGCAGCAGCAAAACGTATGAACGTCAACTGAAAATTGCATGCGATATTGGCATCGCAATCGAATTTAAACGGGGTATTGCGGGTTTAGCGAATTTCAGAGGATAAGACAACTTCTTTGCAAATGCTAAAAGTGCACCGCAGCTGCCTTGCATCAATGGCAGCAGCATAGCGTTACTACAATAAAGTGCTCGAAAATTTACTATCAGTACATCAAATTGTGCTGTTAATTTTAATACAAAAGCACTTTAGATAATGAAATGAATTGAAAGAAAGGACCTTCGAGCATAAGTAGCGATTATGGGTGTTATTTATTCTCGTTGTGGTCCATTGAGTAGTTAAAGTATTTATTGAGCCCATTGTTTAACATACACACACTGATACACATACATATGATAAGCGCATACACATACATGCATACATATGTATATGAAAATATATAGACGACAAACCCACACATCGTAAGCCATCAGAACGTGATTAGTTGCCCTACCCCTTTTTTTTTGTGCGCACTAACAGGGTGTATTGCACTCGTCCGTGTTAACCATAACCATAAGTTGTTTACAGCGTGATTTTATTTTTAATCAATGCAAGGCGTAGACTACTGAGAAATTTAATTATGTATTAATCTTTAGCTCTCGTGACAAATTGGCTCAGCAATTGCGTTTAAAGTACTTTTTCTAAATTACTCTGGCGTCTACAATTGTGCACCCTGTGCATCGTGAGGGACGCACGTACGAGCTATGCTAACCATGGCGTGTAAGGACTTGCGCCACGGCCGAAAGAGTGTAAGATTTAGTGAGCCCACTGCGACATAATCACTTTAAGGAGCCGGTCCACTGAAATCTGATGCATGTATTCACTGTGGGGTGCGACTGTAAGCGGGTAATCGGTTCGCAACAAAATTTGGTCCAGTTTTTGGGATTGCGTTGGGTTTCGGACGCCTCAACTAAAACCAGCATCAAATGGAAAAATTACAATTATGAGAGTATGCATCTGGAATGTGCGGATCTTTAATGAAGAAGTGCCTCTGAACGGATCATCAAACGATGATCTCTAGAATACTAAGGCTGCCACTCAAGGTTTATGAAGGACGAGACAAAATTATAAACACTTTGAACCTTGCAACTTCTCCTAGAGGTGCCATGTCGAATTCCGTCGTCGGGTACTGTCGTTCGTCCCAGTGGACGCGCAACATCTTGGTCATAAGTGATCACATCGCAATAGCGGAGAAGGACGAGGCGTCGAAGAACTCAATCACCGCTTGTAGCCTTGCTTCATTCCCGATATTAACAACGTGCCAGGCAAATTCCATGCCAGGGTAGATCAGAGAGATACTTTAGGTCTCACCGTCGAACAATGTAACCTTTACGACGAAACATCCGATAACGAACCGAGGCTGATTGACTACTCCGGGCCGCTACAACAACAACAGGTTCAGGTCTTCTTGATCAATGAAGCCACAATGCTCTTTCCGGAACGGAAAACTAGATATCGACGACTGACACGACAGGATCGACTTATCTCTGCAGCCGGTTCGAAAACGTCCTATCTCAGAAAATGCCTCAAGAACGCCCTACAACAGAATTTGTTTGATGAACGCCCTATGTCAACTCTTTTTTTTCAAAAAACTCTTTATATCAACTGATAATTTATTGAAAATATGTTGATGTAGGGCGTTTTTAAATTGGCAGCTGAGATAGTTCTTCAATCGAATTCTGAAATATGGCGTTCTTGAAAAATTTTCCGAGATACGTCGTTATCAAACCACTCAGCCGCCAATATCTAGATAAATAACTAAATAGCTAAACACGGAGTGCATGCTTCCAGTGTTAAGGGTGCACGTAAACTCCCACGGCGACTCACACCACTATCTTTCTACAGCCAAGATACGTACACGCCTCTGTGTAACAAGGGAAGATAAGCTGAACGTCCCAATAAGCAGCATATTCGCATTTGACTCGTTTCATAACTGCCGTCTGAGCTTCAACAAATCGACATTTGTGGATGGTGAAACCACATTTCCCAGCTCTTTAAACTCCGCCACCGAAGAAATTGTCGAATATTAGCGAGTCAGATGCGGAATGTAATGCCGCTGTAGAGAAAATGATCTCGCCACGCTGCGATCTGTTGCAAATGGTGCCGTGTGGTATCGATATAAAGAGCTGAAGGAGAAAGTGGGTCGTGTTTTTTCATTAAAAAAGAGAGGCCGAAAAACGTGAGTGTGAAAAGCTTGAAATTCTGGACTATAAGAAGAGTGTCTCAACATTTTTTATCAGGAAGTTAGACAACTTAGAGAAGATTTCAAGAGCAATGCAAATTCCTGTAAGAAAACTACCGAGCGTTCAGTCTTATCTACACGTAAAGTTAACTTTAGGTCATAGATTACGGATCTGTATACTGTTTTTCTAGATCAGGCAATTTTCCCAAGATATTTGCGCTTTAAGCTTGCATTGCAAATAAAAAAAAAACATCTAACTTTAAGATGGAAAATATTCTCATACGCTATTTCGAGTATGATCATGTACCAAATATTCTCATACGCTATTTCGAACACGGCCATGTACCATATGGCGTATGAGTAACATTATTACCTGCTCCTATTTCATACAAAAAAATTATTGTGGAGCATTTCATCGTCACGTACAGACAAATTCAACTACTTTTCTGTTATTTTAAGACGTATAGTTTTAGACACGTTAATGAGACACGTAATTTATTAATTTTATTTAATAGTTTGAACATTAGTCTTTGATTATATGCAAACTATTTAAGGGTAGTTCTTCAAAAGCCTTAGAAAAAAGAAGATCATATGTATTCACATTCAACTTTCAGCGAAACTATGAAATAAGGGCCACACATGTGTTAGATGAAAAGTGTAAGTAAGACCCAAAGACTGTATTAAGTGGGGGAAAAAAACAAAAAATTACGTTTTTGCTTTTAATAAGTTGTCACGTACAGAAAAATCACGTCACATGTCAGGCAGAGTTCATATAGGTGGTTATAAAAAGTAGCTATTTAATATTAGAACACCGATTTGTCCTCTGATAGGCTATGAATTCTGCTCTCTATCTTTTTCTGGACAACTTATTTGTGATGAAAGTTCGAATATCCAGGTATCGGTTGGCGTTTTGCCATGGGAAAACAGCCTGCGTTTTCTGATAAGATAAATAACACGGGTCCGGGAAAACTTTGCCTGATTGGATAAAAATATTGTCATCTTGGCTTATAATTTTTTTCTCACTAGTCTTTTCGCGTCTCCGCCAGCTCGCATTAATCACGCCTTTTCCGTGTAACTGTGCAAATGCCTTGCTATACTTACAACCGAGTAGACAATTTTGGACAATAACCACGCCCACCTCCCTTATAACAGTATTTGCAAAAACTATCATATTTCCGCAAACACTAGATCTAAATTATTGAAAGTTGGAATGTGAGGTACAATAAGACAATTATGAATTTTTAGAAAAATGGGGGTGGCACCGCCTACTTCTGATAAAAGCTCTATCTCAGTAGCCGCTTTACTAATCCCCACCAAACTCGGTACGAATATTGCTGAGAGTTTCATTAAGAAGCTCGTTGAACTTTTTTTTTTAATCGGTCATTAACCCGCGCATCTCCCATGTAACGGTAAATTTCTGAACTTTTATTTTCTCTGAGCATACAGTGGAATAACTCGTTAAACAAAATTAGATTGTGTTTTTAACCTTAGCATGGCATAAACCATATCTATCCATGCCTGAAAGTGAACAGTGTGGAGGAGACGCACCATGTTTTCTTCGAGTGTATGCGATTTGGCAATGCCAGATCTAAACTTCGCTATATAACGGAAAAAAATGGACGACAGCATGTGGGTCGGCGCGACGCGGGATAGCCCGTTGCGCATAGGGCTATTTTGCCTTCAAAATCTGGCCAAAACTATTTATGTGTAGTTTCGCAACTGACTAGTGCCAATTATAAATAAATGAATAAATAAACAAATATATCTCTGAACAATAAAATGATACCTGGCATGATTTGTAAGAGTTTGGTATAAACAATTATGACTAGCTAACTAATTACATACTTCATTCAAAATTTTTCGGAAAATAGTACATGCCAACAAAAAAAGGGAAAAATGGTGCAGCAAATGTCAAAGCTATTTTCATAGACTTTTTTGTGCTGACGAGGTAAAAGTGTCAAAGAGTCGCAATTTTTGCAATATTTTAGAAGCCCTAGCAAAGAAAAAAAGGTTATAGAATCTTCCGCATAGGCTTAAATTCAAGCTAGAGCTGTCGACTTCTAGCCCTGAAAATACCATTTATGAATCTTACTTGATGATCATTTATAGACATTTTCTGTGCAGCAAAAACTAATTTAAGCCTGTCGACTTTCTTCTTCTCTTTGCTACAGGTTCTCAAATATTGCAAAAAACGTGCTTTTTTGAAACTTTGTCCTCGTTTCTCTCAAAATCTGGAGCTGATGAAAACTTTATACTTATGGATTCTTAATCAGCAGCAAAAAATCAATCAAGAACAATTTTAACATTTTCCGCACCAAAATTTTTTTCCACTTTTGTTGACCTGTACTATTTTTAAAAATATTTTGCTCAAGCTTATCAATACATCCCTTCTTGGAAATTTTCTTTCAAAATGTTGTCTATATTGCCGGTGCTTGTTTCGTGCTTCCTCTGGTAGCTGCTCAATCGGGAGAAGTACGTTATCTATAACTTAAACGCCATGCATTATCTAAATTTTTCCCCAAAACACCTTTCTCCTTCTAACTTGCCGATACCTCCTTCA